AGAGATTCTTGTATATTATCTTTATATTATATAATGTTGTATTACCACCAGGTGGCAGTTGTAGATCGCAGCAATAGTAGTATGAAATGTAATATAGGCACAGGTGCAACAGGATCTAATCACGTGAGGCGAGCAGTCACCAATCACGAACTGTATGCTCAGACACCAGTATCATATGACCATGTTGTTTGAAAACAGAAGTAATGTAAGCTAAAAAAGGCATGTTAACATTTAGGAGGATCTATTTCAGGAATGAAAAATATCCATAGGTAATGTTTCAATTAGTTATAATCACGAAAATGAATTGTGTTTACTTAGAATGAATCAATGAGACAGAAAACTGACTAATAATGTCAGCCACACATTATTGAATTAAACATCATTGTAGCTATAAACTAATTCGAACCTATTCATTAGGATTATATTGAGTAATTTTTTAAGCCCCTGATGGGACAAACCAATCCAAACACTTGCTCTAGATAGGGGCATTCACACCTTCCATGTGTTTCACGGACACTGTGATTTCGCCTTAGCATTTAGAAGGTGAGGGTAAAGTGAGGGAGTTGCAACCTGCACAAAATTCTACTCACTGGCCCTTTAAGAGATTTAGCTATCAAGGTCATCAAGTTGTCAAAGTTTGAAACAGCTAATATGCTGTCAGATAAAAATGTTCAAGGACACAGGCTTAATATCACACTTGAAAACATGTCTCATTAGTAAACTTACAACACATTACACTTATTAGTCATTGGAGATATTCAGACATGCCCCTGATCTCATTTTACGCAACATCAAAGGTTCTTTTATGGTGGGTGCCAAGAGTACAATGTGCTTCTGGAGCCATTATTCCAAACTGATCTGGTCTTATGTAATGCCATAAGGAGAATGGGATAGAGGATGATCTCCTGTGGCAGGGGGGAGTAGTGCAGTCACAGGTCCACTCCTGCCTGCATAGCAACAGGAGGAAGGAGGCGAGAAGACAAGGGTAATCTAGGACCAGTGGAAGCTGTCGACAGTGCTTAGTTAACATATGTTCAGCACTTCTCTTGACCGTGTATGTTTAGTCATAAACAACCCATATAATCCAGCAGCCACGAGCTGCAGCAGTGTAATCCCAGAGGAATTCAATAAACCAGAGGGAGCAAGTAAGTAGAATCGTCGTAGTGAGACTTAATCCAGAGCTGATTCTGTACCCTCCCCCTACTGCCTCAGGACTTCACCATGACCCTGTATCTAAGGCACTACTGGAAGGACGAGAGGCTGGCTTTCCCAAGCTCCACCAACAAGAGCATGACCTTTGATGGCCGCCTGGTGAAGAAAATCTGGGTCCCTGATGTGTTCTTTGTCCACTCCAAGAGGTCTTTCATCCATGACACCACTACTGACAACATCATGTTGCGGGTCTTCCCAGATGGTCACGTCCTGTACAGCCTGAGGTGAGGACAGGAAGCAACCCCCCACGCACACATACCTACCCTCACTATGTTTTGAGTTGGTAGGCCTTGATGTTGCATGCTTAGAGCTGATGCCGTTTACACTCTGCTTTTAATTCCCCAGGGTTACAGTCACTGCTGCGTGCAACATGGATTTCAGTCGTTTCCCTTTGGACTCGCAGACTTGCACGCTGGAGCTGGAGAGCTGTAAGTATTCATGGGCCCTGAATTTTTCAGTCGCTGTTAAGCTACCGTCAATGAACTGAAACATCCTGCACAGACATTTTCCATTCTAGCCCCTTTAAGGGCACTATCCTTCCCATTTCTGGAAGGCTTTTAATTTGAATAAAATTTTAAAAACTGCCTTCCAGTTCTTCCAGTTCATCTGTCACCTGTCATTGAGGTTTGCAGAGATTTTTCAATTTCTTGAGGACACTAGGCTTCAATTGAGATGTCAATTATGACGTGAAACCCCCTTTTTATAGCTTCACAATTAATTAAAGAAAAATGAACACTTGAACATACATCAGCGGGATAACAACTACCTAAAATGACAGAAACCATCTTTGGGAAAAATTTATTTGACATGATTTTTTTGTTTCTCCGAGGGGGGCAGGGTTTATGACCAATTTTCCAACCAGCCACCAGGGGGCAATCAAACTATTTTGGCTTCACGTTTGGGGGATACCCATGTACAGTATATCCATACATATTTAAAGCATTATTTTTTAGCCAGCCTTTATTAGCGATTGTCTTTTATTTGTTTGGATATCATTCAAACTCAGCCATCAGTTGAATACAGTTTTAAAAGGGATCCAACTACTGCTGCTGATACTAAAACCAGTCCAACTTGTTACTTCCACTAATGCTTTATCTCCCTCAGACGCTTACACGGATGAAGACCTGATGCTGTACTGGAAAAGCGGTGATGAGTCGCTGAGCACTGATGACAGGATTTCTCTGTCTCAGTTCCTCATCCAGAAGTTTCACACTACCTCCAGACTGGCTTTCTACAGCAGCACAGGTAGACAAATGCTGAGTGGAGTTTGGCATAGATATTATACATGGAAAATAGAATGGAGTAATGTGATTGATTAATATAAACAGAAATGGAAAAAACCTTAATGTGACTCCTGCATTTTCTTAAGGCCCCGTATTGTCGAGGGGCCTGTGTCAAAATCTACCTTAATACCATTAATATTTCAGTTGACATTATGTTTACATGGTGCATATTTTAAAATAAATTCACGTTTTATCAACCATAGTTGGAGAACGCTTGTGCAATCATTAGGGACCCTCAGTTTACTTGTTGTCCTGAGGCCTGCTGGCGGATTAATCAGGCCCTGATATTGCAGTGTCAGAAGTAATCTAATCTCCATAAACAGATATCTGCAGATGAGTGCAAAATCTGCAGGCAAGGGACCAAGATTCTGGCATTGAAAGTTATGGTTTCTGCAGTCCAAGTAGTATTGACCAATCATGTTTGAGTAGGCTTTGGTTGCAGGTAAACAGTCGCATTGGCTGAAATGCAATCTCAGAAACCCATCGGCTATTGTCTGACAAAAGATTAATCAGATATCTGTTTATAGAGATTAGCTGAAAGGTATCTTTCTCGTCATTCCTGCGTATCAAATTGCTAATCGGACTGCGGAGATGGTCCTAGCCTGGATATCCATTATCGGTTCACCAGATATCTACCGGCCAGAAGCCCCAAAACATTGGCTGTTGCCCCCAGAGGCTAAATCGTCGTCGAACGACAGCCGATGGATTCCAAGACTGGAAGTAATCGAATTGGCTGAGTTGAACGACAGTGATGCAAGCCAAAGAACCACAAAGCAAGACAGGCGAGGCACATTATAGCACATTTCATACACAAAGGCAAGTGCTTAATGCATTAAAAGAAATTAAAAAGATTAAAATAAGTTGAGGAAAGTTTTCTGCTGTTTTGTTGTTTGGTTAGCAGGGGTTTCATAAGGTTAAAGATGTTTTTTGGTCCTAAACTGAAGTAAATTTTTCAAGCTGAAGTACTTTCAACTCTACTGAATGACACATTGGAAGCAGGGCTGTACAATTCGGGTCGTGTCTTGATCTTGAGACATTTTTCTCGTACTTGTCTCCATCTCAAGAGGTCTTGACTCCCGCCTAGGATTTGGGGTGATTTTTTTCTTCCTCTGTGTAAGGAGGATGACTGTTTTGAATGAGCTCGAGTAGTTTTAAGATTGTCAAGGATTTGAAATCCTTGCCAGCATTGCCAATGTTTGACACTTCTGCCCTCATTTAAACCGCAGTAGGTAACTTATATGAAAATAACCTTTTGTCATAT